TGCAAAAAATTCGAAATTGTAACAATTTTTTTTAAAATTCATTTCAGTGACGTTCAGTGTGAACACAGTAGCATAGAGTTGAGTGAAAAACAGCGCTCGATGACATACTTCATGCACTGCTGCACGATGTCATATGCGAAAAGTGTGGTGTGATAGTTTCAATGAGAATTTCATATTTTTTTCAATTTATTCGACTGAATCGATTTCTAAAGTTTTGTGGTTGATTTTGATGGGAATTTTTTTTCATATTTGACAACTCAATGAGGTTCATAAATTTGAAAATCGCAGGCGATTAAATGAAGCGTATGAATCGGAAGTGTAAATTGACCTTAATGTGGTCAAAAGTAAGTAAACACAATTTTAGACAACCAACATTAAAAGACGTCCTTTAATGGTATCCTGCAAAAATTTGATGGTGTTATTCTATTTTTGGAACGTTTGCAAACGACGTTCCTCAATTTTGTTGGATGCGGAGAATAGTGGTGACAAATTTGAACATTTTTGTAAAGTGGAAAGCTCATTGTTCAAATCACAATCTCGCTGGAAGTCAAAAAATCGAAAATTCAAATTTAATTGACGACAAAAAATGCACAATGTTCGAATCACTAGTATTTCGATTGAGAGAATAGATTTCATAGGTTTTTTGCTTTTAGCTTTTTGCTTAGTCTTTATTGAGCATCCTTAAAGTAAATCATCTTGATCGGTGTACGACGACGCAAACATTAGACGCTCCAAGTAAACGAAGACGTGTCGCTATCAGGCGAAGCATCTGAGCTCAGCCATTTACGTGCAATACTCACGGATCTGATCACATTTTGTCATAATACTACAAAACGCTCTGGATTACAAAGGAAAAATTCAGCATGCAGTTGTTTCGAAAATTAAAATTAAAAGAACGAAAGTCGTAAAGGATTCTGGCACGAAACATGAATAAAGGATTTGCATCATTCGTTACGACAAATAAGATTTCGATAGCATATGTCATTTTTTAGACAATTCTTAGGAAGAAGCACAATTTGGTTGATTCAATTCAGACGTACAGGTGGCGGAAAATTTAATCCCTGTAATAAAGCAGCGTTGCTCTCAAACAGATCGAATATCAAAGACGACGATAGTTACATGCTTCTGCAGCATTCTATGTCAGAGATACACAACTCTGGAATAAGGGATTTTCAGATAATCACATAGATAAACACATCGTAAAATGTTCGCTCGGGCCCAATTATAGCAGAACTTTGCCGAAGTTCATTGCGTTGATGATCAAAATTAGATGCGGAGTAGGCATTTAGACATGAGAATAAGACATTTGATGAAATTTATAAGGGCCATGTGAATTGCAAAACTTTGTGAATGAAAGAATACAATAAGCATTAGTTTCTGAAAAAGTGATGAATAAACACGCTCTAGTCTGCTGAAATATTGCATCGATGTCTATCCGGAAAATGAATCAGACTAGCGAGATGAATTTGAATACTGTGCGGTTCTTCTCTTACGCTGCGCGAATTTATTTAATCCGAAAAGAAAATCCGGCTGGAAATCTTGAGAAATAAAAACTGGCATAGGATATCTTTTGTGGGCATTTTACTTGCGTTAATTAGATAAATGCAGTAATTCATCATTTAGTATCGCGATTCATGAATTATCATCTATTCGGTTCATTCACAAAAAATAACGCCGTCAACTTTATGGCCTCTAATTACCAGTCTTAACAATAGCCAAACGATGTGTTGAATGAAAAATACAATTGTCGGTCTTTTTGGGGCAAACTGCGGCAACCGAACACAAAGCGGTTAAAGATCTGAACACTGAGGAACGCAACCGGGGAGCGGACCTGGCGATAATTTGCGTTAGAAAATGAGCAAAAATTGATATAAACGATTCATCCATCAACTTATTCCGTTTCATGCTGTGATTTGAAACTAATTTTTTTCAATCAACAATGAACTCGGCGTAATGTCTCGATTTCGGGATCATTTTCTTAGAGATTCTATCAGATTTTCTTGGCGATTCTCTAAAGGGAGAAGAAAATTTAGGGAATAACATGCTGGCAACGTGAAATTCTTTCCAATAGTTGAAAAAATTCCTAAAGCGGAAGGCTTTCAGCATAGGTCTTCCGCAACAAAGGCTCGCAATGGTATCAGACCGTGCGTCGATTGCGCAACATTTTTGGAAAATGGAGTATGGATTTTTTTGCGCATATCTGATGAAACAATTATCTGGAATACGATTGGTCGCAAACAAGTGTTTCTCACTTACCGTGAATGATAATGACTCAAATGACCTCGCCAATTATGTTAAATAAGGATCTGTCGAGGAGGGAAAACGATGAATTGAGTGTTACTTTTTCAGAAGGAACACAGTTCATCGATTGTCTGTCGATGGGATGACCACTGGAATCGGTATGATCGTGTGATTTTTTGAATCCCGAAAAATGTACCTCATAATGATGCACATTCCTTTACCTCCTCATCGTTCGCCTCTTTATCGTAATTATCATTACAAATCTCAAACACACAAAGCGATAATTCGGTCAAGTAGTGAATTATACGCTCTCAACAAACTACTATAATTCCAAATATCAACCCTATAATCATCATTTAGACATAATTTGCTCACACCTCATAAAGTAACTCGAAATCGCCAGTAAACAGTCACTCACCCAAGTTAATGTTTTTTTTAATTTGAGAGGTCACGCATAAATAATTCTGACTGGATTCTGCACTCGTTCGAAATTCTTTGAAATTAGCGCTGAGAAAGTTGGATTTTATAGTGAACTCGCACTATGTTAGTGTTTCTATGCCAAACGTTTTGCCGTAATTCAGCGCCTAAAATGGTGTTCGTTCAGAAATTCATTTCACTTTAAACTTTTGTAATGGACGAAGAATCTGTGATGGACTTTTGATTTGTGATGGACTGAAATTGGAGGAAGTTGACGATGTTTGGAGATTTGTTGGAATTTTATGAATTTTTTCATCACTTTGGTCTAATACACTGGTTCTCACGTTCGGTTGCTCCATTACCTCTTCTGATGATCTGGTAGACCGCCGTTACCCCCTCCCCTTATTAAGTCGGGAAGTTGCACATGTTATGTTCTGATCACCGTTACTTTCAATCTCATTAGCACGTCCATGATGGTAATCAACATCGCTGCGGCTTCTTTTAGACCGTTGTGTTGATCATTATTGCAATCGATTTTGATTGCATGAAAACCCATTGTCTGTGACACGCTCACTTCAAACTGATTTAAATGAATTCTCATTCTTTTCAGACGTGTTGTAATTACTCTCATAGCTATTACATGCGAATACCGTTCACTTGATGACTTTTTCTCATTCACTTCGTCTCATTTCACTTCACAGTTCGAATCAATTTCTTATTCTGTAGCATATACTATTTACTGGATACGTTGACGAGTGTTGACAGCCGCAACAACAATACAACCATTAAATTGAATTGCTCAACAACGTTCGACAGTCAAATAATCAATAATAGAGTGTATTTGATAGAATGAGAATTTGACTTTAATTGTTGAGTGAA